CGGCGCCCAGAGGGTCTTTTGTCCTTGGAGAGGCAATATACCCTTTTCCAAATGGACTACAGGAAGGGGAACAGTTTCTCTCAGTGCATCCCAGGAGATCCCTACACCACTTTGTGTGCTCTCTGGCCACCGTCCTCCTTCTCCCCAGAAGCACATGCCACAGTTCCCCTCTGGCAAACGTCTCCCACTTCCAAAACCTGAGACTGAGCTCCACACTGTTTGCAAAAAAACCTGCCGCACTCAGTTCCCCTGGCTCCTTAGCCTGTCGTCCCGTAGAAGTTTTCTTCTTGTGCAAACCCAAGGTCGCAGTCACTTAACCGTTCTCCCTTTCTCTCCCCATGGAAAGGGTTCCCTACCCTCCTCAGCACAGCACTTTTTCTCTCCCCCAATTCACTTCCACATGCCTCGCAGCTGCCATGCTATCTCCCTTCAGCTGTTGAGACCCTTCTTCCAATCCTTAGATCGATTTCTGGGGTGTTCCAAGTGATCTGACCTCAATACAGCTCTGTTCGAGGGACAAGGAAAGCCCAGGGTCCCCCTATTTCTCCACCATCTTAACTCCTCCTGGCTTTCTTTTGTTGTCCATTAGCACGATAGATGGTTCTCCATCTCCCATTTTCAATCCGCTGGTGTCTTTAGGTCTAAAACGAGTCTCTTGCAGGCAGCGTATAGATGGATCTTGCTTTTTTTTTTTTTTTAATCCATTCTGATATCCTATATCTTTTGACTGGAGCATTTATTACATTTGCATTCAGAGTGATTATTGAGAGATGTGAATTTGTGCCACTGTGTTACCTATAGAGTTGGTGTTTCTGATAATGTTCTCTGGTCCTTTCTAGTCTTTGTTGATTTTGGTCTTTTTTTTTCCCCCCACTCAAAGGGTCCCCCTTAATATTTCTTGCAGGGCTGGTTTAGTGGTTGTGAACTCCTTTAGTTTTTGTTTGTCTGAGAAACTCTTTATCTCTCCTATTCTGAATGACAGCCTTGCTGGATAAAGTATTCTTGGCTGTATATTTTTCCCATTCAGCACATTGAATATATCTTGCCACTTTCTAGTTCAGACATTTTACTTATATCTGGATTGATATATCTGGCCATGAGTGCTATTTCCTGTTGTTTCTTTTGAGGTGAATTTCTCCATCTTGTCATTTTGTCCAGAAAAGAAAAGTAGAAAAAGAAAACAACAACAACCACCACAAAACTAGATCCTGGATGTGTTTTGGGCTGCTTGTTAAAAGAAGTACCATCAAAAATAAATAAACAAACAAGCAAACAAAAAATATAAAATATATGTAAATAAAAATTAAAAAAAATAAAAAAGGAATTAAAAAATTAAAAAATGAAAAAGTAATAATAAAAAATAAAAACAAAAAGGAAGCTAGGTCCTATTTCCCTTAGAGCTGAAGCTCTGTAGCACTCTAAGATCAGTAGACTTGGTGTGTCCAAGATGTTTGCGCTGGTCTTCTGAGGAGGGGCCTTGCCCTGATTCTCAGGTGGACTTGCCCTAGTGGGTGTGTCTCTCTAGGGTGCAGGGGGCTCTGGCCTCCACTAGGTGGCTCTGTTTTGCTCTCTGAAGGCTTTCAGTGCTGATGGGCATGATGAAAATGGCAGCCCCCGCCCCTGCCACCCGCCCTCTAGCCCTAATGCTGAGAGTTTATGCCCCCAACTCTTTAGGAAGTCCTTACAGAAGAACAATTGATCTTGTGTCCCCAGCTACCCTCAGATCCCTGCCTTCACCTTGCCTGTGTCTGAACCGTTTCATCTCTGGAGTGTGACTGGGTTTCCGAACTCCAAATTTTAGGGACTCCCCTGGTGTGGACCTGCCTTGCTCCCGTGGGGGAGGGTCTCACTGCACGTTTACCTGTTGCCGGCCTGTGCCAGTGCGGCAGCCAGACAACCGCGCAGCAGTTCAGAGTTCGTGGCAGCGCCGAGCAGAGAGCCGGCCGCAGGCTCGCTGCCCTCAGCCAGAGTCCCCACTCCTATGCCTGAAAACAGAGCAGCGCATCTGCGTCACTTGTTCTTGCGACCCAGGGAATCCTCAGACCACCCTGTCCGCTCCTGGGCTTCTAACCCTTTTTGCCACCTGAGCACCTTTAAGCCAGGCACAACCCCGGCAGTGGCGGATGTCTAAGATTTCAGATTTTGTGCTCCGCGGCTTATAAGGCTTTGCGGTAGTGTTCCTAAGCAGGACTCTCTCCTGCGCAGTACCTACAGTTGTCTCTCCCAGATAGCTCTCTGATCTTCCGCCTATCTTCCAAACGTCGTTGCTTTTCTACTTGTAGACTTGCCGTTTTGTTCTCTCAGACCTCAGATTGATTTCTTGGTGTTAAGAATTTGATAATTATCTAACTGTATTCGAGAGACAAGGCAACCTTAGGGCCCTCCTACTCCTCTGCCATCTTAACTCCTGCCGCCAGGTTTATATAGTGTTCTACATTTTTTTATTTGTGAGAAGGTGTTGCAGGATTGCAGGGTTCTTGTCTCTCACAGAGTCGAAGAATGAAACTTGCAGACACAAAAGGGTGAAGTGAAGTGAAAGTTCTTTTTTTTTCTTTTTTCAAAATGCTGTCAAATGCTAGCCTTAACCTCAAAAAAATGGTAGAGAGCATTTCCCATTTCCAATGGGAAAAGTACCATTACTTTTTTCTATCACTTAATTTCTCTGTCTCTGAACCTAGAACTTAGGCTAGTTATATCATAGTTTCAGTAAGCTTTTATAAAATAATTTGGGAACAAAGCTAACAGCATTAGAATTCAAAGTATAAAATCTCAACAAAATAAATGGAAAAAATTCTGTATAATTGATTACAAGTAATCTTTGGGAACACTTGTTCTTAAGAACCGCTGTTTTGGCGAACAAAAAGGTGAATAACTTGGGATGACATATAGTTGACTAAAAATAGTTTCCAGAGCCAAAATGTCATATAGTTTTCAGTTAAAATTTTCCTCACCTTTCACTTTTGGTGATAATATTATCAAAACTATGGTTTACAGTAAAAATATATTAATATTTAATAGTAAATATTTTATTATGTAATGTTCAAAGATTAATTTGGGGGTAAAAAAATACGTGAATTTGAAGTCTTAAAACGACTGTGTGTGAATGCTGAGCCTGCTAATTTACAAACTGAGTTTTGTGAGGTTTTTAGCTTTTCTGAACTTTAGTTCAATTTCTATAGAATGCTGATGACAATACCAATCTCCCTGATTTGTGATGAGGATTAAATATTCAAGTATCTAAAATATCTAAATAATAGGTACTCAATAAATGTCAGTTTTCTCCTTGTCTGAGAGATTTTTACTAGATATTGAAAGTGACTCATCTTATGGAAATATTCTCTGAAGTTATCTTTATTAGTGATATGTGGACATAATGATATAAAATTTTGATTAATAAACAGTTTCTCTGAGATCTGTGAGAAAGCTCAGAACTAAGCACAGTATAGTCTGTTTAATAAAAGTTTTTTGTTATTATGAAAAACCAATAGACAATTGATTCTGTGTTTGTTAAGTACTGTACTTGTGATGATACCAGTAATAAAGATGATAAAGTTCCTGCCTCAAACAACTTACTGCTTAATGAATCATCTATCATATTACATATGTACTACAAACTGTGAATAAATAATGAAAAAAAAATTGAAATAGAAAAGATTCAAAATTTCAAAGAGCTTGATTTTTAATTGTATAATGGTCGGGGAAAGACTGAGGGAGTAGAAGAGAAGTTTGAAGAATTGTTGATATATATCTGGGAATTGACATAAATGGATACAGGGTCTTCTCCATTCCTAGGCAAGAGACATCATATACATGTATAAATATTTTTCTCTATATACAAGAATTTATATACAGTCATGCCCAGAAACTCAAAATTTTCTCTTAGGTACATGTAGTTTATAATGTATATAAAAATAAAGTTAATCTATTCTTAATTTTTTTTATTGTGGAGGAACACTTAACAGGTGTTCTCTTAAAATTTTAAATGTGCAATACAATGTTGTTATTATAGGTACTTGTTGTGCAACAGGTTTCTAAAATGTACTCATACTGAAAAACTGAAACTTTATACCCATTGAATAACTCCCCGTTTCCACCTCCTCCTAGCCCGACAACCACCATTATACATGGTACAAACTCTGCATCCATGAGTTTGACTCTTTGAGATATATATGTGAGATCATGCAGTATTTGTCTTCTGTTACTGGCTTATTTCACTTAGCATAATGTCCTCGTAGTTCATCCATGTTGTTGCATATGGCAGGATTACCTTCTTTTCTTAAGGCTGCATAATATTCCATTGCATGTATATCCCACATTTTTTTTTATCCATTCATCTGTCAATGGAAATTTAGGTTGCTTCCCTATCTTTGCTATTGTGAATAATGCTGCAGTGAACATGAGAGTGCAGATATCTCATTGAGATCCTGGTTTCAGTTATTTTGGATATATACCCAGAAGTGGGATTGTGGGATCATATGGTAGTTCTATTTTAATTTTGTGAAGAACTTCTCTACTGTTTTCCACAGTGACTGCCCCAGTTTACATTCCCACAAACAGTATACCAAGGATTCCAATTTCCCCATATCCTTGCCAAATCTGATCTTTTTAAATGATAATAGCCATCTTAACAGGTGTGTGGTGATATCTTATTGTGGTTTTGATTTGCAATTCCCTGATGATTACTGATATTGAGCACCTTTTCATTTTCCTGTTGGCCATTTATATGTATTCTTTGAATAATCTATTCAAGTCTGTGTCCATTTTCTAATTGTCCTGTTTGATTTTTACTATTAAGTTGTACTTAATTTTATTTGATTAAGGACATGTATCCCAGTGAATAAAATCACATGACCTGCCCAGGAATAATTTTGACCTCTAAGCACTTGTTATAAACATTTATCATTACCTATTAAATTTAACATTTTAAAATTAATTTATATTATATAGAATTGTGTTTTCAGAAGTGTACTGCCAATGACATTGTATGGATTCACCTCTAGGCAATCAAGTGGTGTGAAGACGTTTAGCAGTTGCAGTTTGAGTGACTTTGAAAATTTCATTTCAAATATGGGTGCCAAATGTCTTCAGAATAAGCCACAAATGCGAAGAAGCATGGTAGCAATCTGTGGCAATGGCAAAGTGGAGCTAGGTGAAGCGTGTGACTGTGGTACTGAGGAAGTAAGTCTGATAAATAGGAGAGTTAATTAATAAATTTATTGTTTTAGCTCATCTCTTTGTCATAAATGCTATGTATCTCAAATATGACTGAGTACCATGCAGAATATTTACAGTAAGTGAAATCAAGTTTGAAATACATATAAGAATATACTATATAGATGTAGGCTGAAGGATTTTGAACAAGTATAAAAATGTACTCCTAAAAATTATTGCTGATGGGAAAAATAGGAGTTAGAATGAGCTTTTGTGTTCTAAACTAAATATATAAGATCTTTCCAAACCTGTACTTAACCTCTGGATATTTTATAAATGTTTTATTGAAGATTAATATGTCAGCCGACCATCAAGTATCCTTTAGGGTATTATTTCACAATGGAATCAGTAATATGGTAAGGTAAGGCTATTAATATTACAGTCTGAACATAGGGTGATTTTAATTATTCACTTGGTAGGGAAGCTCTGAAAATATAGTGAATGCAAAAGGTCCAGGTTGTAGTACTTTTAGATAATTCAGTATTTGCAGCCATACTGCAGATATTGTACATTTCCATGATTACAAGATAGATGGAAGTGATATTAGGGTGTGATACATATATGGGTCTGAATATACTTGTATCCATACCACACTGTTTTAATTACTGTGCCTTTCTAGTATGTTTTGCCATTTGGTAGAACAAGTCCTCCCTCTTAACTCTGCTTGCCTGCCTACCTTCCTTCCTTCCTTCCTCTTTCTCTCTCTCTCTCTTTCTTTCTTTAATTTCTTAATTGCTTTTTCTCATAATTTCTTTCTTTTAAAATATCATCAACATACAGTGCTATGGTAGTTTCAGGTGCACAGTATAATAATTCAACAATTCTATGCATTTCTTGATGCTCATCATAGCAAGTGTTCTCTTAATCCTCTTTATCTGTTGTCTCCATTCCCCTGCCCACTCCCCTCCAGCAACCACCAATTTTTTCTCTATTTTTTTGTCTTTTTATTGTTGTTGTTGATTTGTTTCTTAAATTCCACATTTGAGTGAAATCATATGGTATTTGTCTTTCTCTGACTGACTCATTTCATTTAGCATTATATCCTCTAGGTCTATGCATGTTGTCACAAATGGCGGGATTTTATTGTTTTCTTTATGGCTGAGTAATATTACATTTTATCTATCTATCATCTATCTATCTATATTCCATTATATCTGTAGATATAGATATAGATAAATCTCCTGCATCTTCTTTGTCCATTCATCTATCATAGGACACTTGAGTTGCTTCCATATCTTGATTATTATAAATAATTCAACTATAAACTAGCAGTACACATATCTTTTTGAATTAGTGTTTTTGTTTTCTTTGGGTAAGTACCTTGTAGTGGAATTATGGGTTCGTTTGATATTTGTTTTTTAATTTCTTGAGGAGCCTCCATACTGTTTTCTATAATGGCTACAACATTTGCATTCCCAAACAATGCATGTTATTTTTTCCCACATTTTCACCAACACATGTTATCTTGTGTTTTTGATTTTAGCCATTCTGACAGGTGTAAAGTGATATCTCATTATGGTTTTGATTCGCATTTCCCTAAGGATGAGTGATGTTCAGTATCTCTTCATGTATCTGTTGGCCATCTGTATGTCTTCGTTGGAGAAATGTCTATTCAGGTCCTCTGTCCATTTTTTAATTGTTTTTTTTTTTTTTTTTTGGTGTTGAGCTGTATAAGTTCTTTATATATTTTGGATATTAACCCCTTATTGGATATATAATTTTGCAAATATCTTATCCTATTCGGTAGGTTGCTCTTTTGTTTCATGAATGGTTTCCTTAGTTACATAGAAGCTTTTTATTTTGGTGCAGTCCCAGTAGTTTAATTTTGCTTTTGTTTCCCTTATCAGAGGAGACATAAATGGAAAAATATTATGTCGACGATATGTCAAAGAAATTACTGCCTATGTTTTCTTCTAGGAGTTTTATGGTTTCAGGTTGGTCTCACATATAGTTTCTTAATCTACTTTGAGATTATTTTTGTGTATGGTGTAAGAAAGTTGTCCAGTTTTATTCTTTTGCATGTAGCTCTCCAATTTTCCTGACATCATATGTTGAAGAGACTGTCTTTTCCACATTGTATACTCTTGCCTCCTTTGTTGTAGATCAATGGCCCATATAAGTGGAGCTTTAGTTCTGAACTCAGTATTCTGTTTCATTGATCTAAGTGTCTGTTTTTGTGTCAGTACCATACTGCTTTGATTACTATAGCTTTGTATTATATCTTGAAATCTGAGATTGTGATACCTGTTCAGGAAACATCTGATTGTCAGTTTTGTCTGATCTAGAAAGTCATGTGAATAGAATGATGCAGCACATTTCCTTCCTTCCTTCCTTCCTTCCTCCCTTCCTTCCTTCCTTCCTTCATTCCTTCCTCCCTTCCTCCCTCCCTCCCTCCCTCCCTCCCTCCCTCCCTTCCTTCCCTCCTTCCTTCCTTTCTGTTTATTTATTTAAGTCATCTCTATACCCAATTATGGGGCTCGAATTCATGACCCTGAGATGAATAGTCACATCCTCTTTTGATTGAGCCAGGCCGGTGCCCCTGGCTTCTTCCTTTCAATATTGTGTTTTGAGATTCATTCAGTGTTGTTTTATGTCACAGTAGTTTCTTCCTTTTTATTATGTGTAATACTTTGTTGTTTAAATATAGCACAATCTGTTTTTTCATTTACCTGCTAATGGATATTTGAGTTGTTAAGAGTAGTGGGCCATTATTTCAAATTCCTAAAAGTAGAATTGCTGGATCATATAAGTGTATGTTCATGAGAAACTGGCAAACTATTTTCCAAAGTGTTGTATTATTTTACACTCTTATCAGCAACACATGAAACTTAATTTCCTCCACATCATCAACAAAATGTGATGTTGCAGCCTTTTAAATTTTAGGCGTTACAATGGTTTTTGTTTGTATTTTCTTTGAGTATAATGATGTTGAGCCTGTTCTCATGTCCTTATTAACCATTAAGTTATTTGGTTTTTTTAATTATTGATTTGTAAGAGTTTTTTTTCCTATAGGCTGTATACTAGTCCTTTCTCAAACATGTATATTACAAATATTTGTTTCCAATCCATGTATTACCTTTTTGGTTGCTTAACAACATCTTTGAATAGCAGGCATTTTGTATTTTTTATGAAGACCAATTTATCATTTTTTTTCTTCTATGGTCATGCTTTTTGTATCTAAGAAATCTTTGCCAACTCAAGGTCATGAATATTTTCTCCTATGTTTTCTATGAGAAGTTTTACAATTATCGCTCACATTTAGTCTTTGATCCATTTTGGGTTTGTTTTTGTGTTTGGGGAGATTTTTTTTTTTGAGGTTCATTATACTCCATTTGAATATCAAATTTTTCTAGTAGTATTTGTTAAAATGAATATCTTTTCACCATTGTATTAGCTTAGCATTCTTATGAAAGTAAATTACTATACATGTGTATCTATCTCTGTATTCTTTTCTGTTTATTTACTTATGCCAATTCTACACTATTTTAACTAATGTGTTTTCACAGTAAATCTTGAAAACAGGTAATGTAAATCATCTTTGTTCCTTTTTTCCAGGATAGTTTTATTATTGTGAAACCTTTGTATTTCCATATAAATTGGAGAATCAGCATGTGAATATAGGGACTTTATTGGAATTGTGTGGTATTCATACATCAATTTTTGGAGAATTACTTTTTTTAATTAAAATTGTCTGCAAATCAATGTACATGGTGTATATCTCCACTTATTTAGCTCTTCTTTAATTCATTTAGTTTTTCTATGGTTGTTTCTATAGCATTGTTTTAAAATTTTATTTAACAATTATCCATTGCAGGTATAGAAAATACAGTTGACTTTTGTGAATTCACCTTGGATCTAGTGTCAATTAGAAATGTTGAGAATGGTCTTTGCTTTGTTTTTATTGGGGGGGAGGGAGCTTTCTGACTTTCACCACTAAATATAATGTTAGATAAAAGTTTTTTTGGTAAACATATACCCTTAGCATGTTGAGGAAGTTCCTTTCTATTTCTAGTTAGTTGAGAGTCTTAAATCAAGAATTGGTGTTGAATTTTGTCCAATGTCTTATTTTTGTGTCTATTGAGCTGATTCAAATGAGTTTTCTCCTTTTAAAAATTAGTTAATTAATTAATATGGTGCATTTCATTGATTGGTTTTTGAATACTAACCCAACCATGCATTCTGACATTAGCTTCACTTGCATTTTTCTGTATATATAGTGCTAGATTTAATTTGCTGATATTTTGTTTGGGATGACAGCACTTATCTTCACAAGGGGATTGTGGTCTGCAGTGTTTTCTTTTCTTGTGATATTTTCTGGTTTAAGCATCAAGGCAATTCTGAATTCAGTACTTTCTGAAAGAATTTATTTAAGATTGGTATTTTTCCTATTTATTTATTATTTTTATTGTGGAAGAGCACTTCACATAGGATCTACTGTCTTAAATCTACCCTCCTAGAGATTTTATAGCTTTACATTTTACATTTAATTTATGATCCATTTTGAGTTATTTTTTGTGAAAGGTAAAGTCAGTGTCTAGTCATTATTTCCCATGTGAATGTCCAGTTTTTCCAGCACCATTTGTTGGAAAGACTATCCATTCTCCATTGAGCTGCATGTACTCCATTGTTAAAGATTTATTATCTGTGTTGGTCTGTTTCTGGGGTTTTTATTTTGTTCCAGTGATCTCTTTGTTTATTCTTTTGTGAATACCATACTGTCATTATAGTTTATAGTAAGTTTTGAAGTTGGGTGTTGTCAGTTCTTCAGTTTTCTTCCTCATTTTTTTCTTCTTCTCCTCCTCCTCCTTTTTCTTCTTCTTCTTTCTTTTCCTTCTCTTCAGTATTATGTGACTATACTGCATTTTTTTGCATCTCCATATAAACTTTAGAATCAATTTGTCAATATCTACAAAATAACTTGCTGGAATTTTTATTGAAATCGCATTAAATCTCTAGATAAAACTGGGACGAAGTGACTTTTTTTTTTTAAAGATTTTATTTACTTGTCAGAGAGAGAGAAAGACGGAGAGAGAGCACAAGCGGGGGGGAAAAGCAGGCTCCCCACTGAGCAAGGAGCCCGATGTGGGGCTCGATCCCAGGACCCTGGGATCATGACCTGAGCCAAAGGCAGATGCTTCACCGACTGAGCCACCCAGGCGTCCCAAGAAGTGACATCTTAACAATATTGAGTCTTCCTATCCATGAACATGGAATATCTCTCCATTTATTTATGCCTTCTTTGATTTCTTTCATTAGAGTTTTGTAGTTTTTCTCATACAGATTCTATAATAGTTTGTTAGAACTATTCCCAAATACTTCATTATTTTGGTGCTAATATAAATAGCATCATGTTTTTTATTCAAATTCCCATTTTTCATTGTTGGTTTACAGGAAAACAATTGGCTTTTTTTTTTTTTTTTAAGATTTTACTTATTTGACACAGAAAGAGTGAGCACGAGCATAAGCAGGGGGAGCTGCAGAGGGAGAGGGAGAAGCAGACTCCCTGCTGAGCAGGGAGCCCGATGTGGGGCTCGATCCTAGAACCCCAGCATCATGACCTGAGCTGAAAGCAGACACTTAACCAACTGAGCCACCCAGGAACCCCAACAATTGACTTTTGTATATTAACTTTGTATCCAGCAATCTTGTAATTAATTAGTAGTCCAGGAGATTTTAATTTTTTTTTGCTTTCTAGTCAATCATTTGGGATTTTCTTTACATAGTCAATCACAGAATCTATGGAAGAAACAGTTTTTTTTCTTCTCAACCTGTATATTTTTAATTTCATTTTCTTGTCTTACTGAATTAGCTAGAACTTACAGCAAGATGTTAAAAGGAGTGGTGATGACCCTCCTTGTCTTGTTCCTGATCTCAGGGGGAAAACTTATAGTTTCTCAACATATATAAGATATTAGCTGTAGGTTTTCTCTGTATGTTCACTATCAAATTTAGGAAGTTTCTGTCTATTCCTAGTTTGCTAATATTTTGTATAATTCATTAAGTGAGTATTGGGTTTTGTCAAATGCTTTTTCTACATCAATTGTTATGGTCATATGGTTTTTCTTCTTCAGCCTGTCAATATGATGAATTGATTGATGTGTGAATGATTATGAGAGATATTGGTCTGTAATTTTCCTTTTTTGTAATGTCTCTGGGTTTGGTATTAGAGTAACACTAGCCTCATAGTATAAGTCAGGAATTTCACACATCAATTTTGGGAGAGTATTGTGTCTGTAATTCCTTGGGGTGAAGGCAGTATGAGCTTTTCCTGGGTTCTGTCCTAGTTGCTTCTTCTCTTGGCTAATTTTAATTTGCATCCTTTCCATATAATAAACCATAACTGTGAATATAAAAGCTTTCAATGAATTCTGTGAGTCCTTCTAGTAAATTACCAAACCTGAGAGTGGTTTTGGAAATCCATTGAACTTGTGTTTGGTGTAAGTAGTGAGGGAAGTTTTGGGGGTATTCTAACTGCAGTGGGCATAAACTCTACACACCCTTACCTCCCCAACATTATTGCAGTATGACTGACAAGTAAAAATTATGTTTTTAAGGTGTTCAACATGATGTTTTGATATATGTATACCTTCTGAAATGATTACTACAGTCAAACTAATTAACCTATCCTTCACTTCACATAGTTACCATTTTTTTTTTTGTATGTGGTGAGGACACTTTATCCTCTTAGCAAATTTGAAATATACGATACAGTATTGTTAACTATAGTCATCATGTTGTACAGTGGATCTTGAAAACTAATTCATTCTTAAATGAAAATTTGTACCTTTTGAACAGTATCTCCCCTTTTCCCCCACCCTCCAGACACTATTAACCACCATTCTGCTCCCTCTTACTAGTCTCTATTTTCTGAAAAAAGTTGTTTCATGTATTTTTCCTAGTTTTCTAGTTGGGTAAGAGTTTCTTGGTACCAGTTACTCTGTTTTGACCTGAAGTGAAAGTCTTAATTTAGTATTTTAATTGTTTAGAGATGCAGAACTATAAATATTGACAGCATTCATATTCTTCCCCAAAACTCAAAAAAATAAGCCCAGTAGTATAGTTCCTGCCAAAGTTTATATTATTATCATGATGTCTTTTTACTTGTACATTCCATTAATTCATAGCAATGTGGAGCTGCTCCCTGTTGTAATTTTCGTACTTGTACGCTGAAACCAGGATCACAGTGTGATGCAGGATTATGCTGCAGGGACTGTCAAGTAAGATTTAAGTTTATTATTATCTTCCAAGTATATAATGAATCATGTCTTAGATACTTTAAATCACTTAGACCTATAGCTGTAAATAAAAATAAATGAACTTTCTGAAACTAACAGTATACTGTATGTTAACTAACTGGAATTTAAATTAACACTTAAAAAATAAGTGAGCTTTCAAATAAAGAAAAATATACTAAATTCAGAATCAGATTTCTGATTTTGTGAACCTTAATTGGATGTTCAGGTTTTCTTCTTATGCCATTATTCTGCCCAACTTGATGCTGTTGTTCTTAAGCCTTGATTGAGAGCTATCATACAATTTTCAATACAGATCTCCCTTAAAAGGGACTTCTTATTTACTCTATTCATTATTTATATTTTTAGAAATAATATTATTACTGGTTGTGATAGGTATCTGTAGGTATGTAATTGAAAGACACAGCAGTTTCCCATAAATGTATAAAGAATGAAACTTACTAGAGTAGCACCTTTTAATTTTATTATGTTATGTTAATCACCATACAGTACATCATTAGTTTTTGATGTAGTGATCCACAATTCATTGTTTTCGTATAA